TGTGAACTGAAAAATCAGGACATGATTTCTAAACTGCCATCACTCCCTCATTTTCAAGCCCACCTACACAAATCTTATATCAAAATGTTCAGCTATCCCTGCTGCCACTAAAAATGTCCACGGCTAAGCCATAGTCCTGATAGTTTTCACAATATGACCATTTGTTTGCAACTCACGCCGCCCATTGACATTCATTGAAACTCTACTCTAGCCGCCTCAAATTTGAAGGGCAATTTCTAAACTGCGACTGTGCCTTCATTTTTAATATTTCAGAGACATACTAAGCATCAAAATGTAGGAATGCATTTCTCACTCTATCAAGCTTGCCATGTGCACTTTTTAAATTTCATCAATCAATTGGTTAGTGTAATGTTTACTATCTTTACTCACTCCAAACACTCCACACAGTTACTCCGCCCACTCCATAAAGTTACTCTGCCCAGTCCAACCTTTTCACAGTTACTCCAGCCACTCCAACCACACAACAGTTACTCAAGCCACTCCACCCAGTTACTCCGCCCACTCCAGTTGTAGACCACTGGTGGAGGCAAGAACACTTCACACAATTTCCCCAGAAATTGTAGCTTTTCTAGGTTTTTTTTATTTGTTTTGTTCCGGGCCTACCTTTTGTTACATCCCTCCGATTGCAGAGCATTGATCCAGCATAGAAGTAAAAGTTTGTGGTTGAAGTAAATTCACAGCATTTATAAAGCTGGTTTTAGGAAGGCCAGAAAATGTGATTCTCTCTGCTTTTCTAGATGACATCAGAAAGTTCCGCCGTCAGCTGTCTGTGTATGACGATCCATCACTGAGGAGGATATACGAGTATTACAGAGATGATCTGACCTACATCCTGGAGAACATGAACCCTCATTCCATCCTGGCAGAACTACAATCTCTGGGAGTTTTAAACACAGATGTAAGATATTTCTACATTTCCTACAGTAAAATACAGTATGTGTGGTACAGGGGAGCTCCATATAAAACACCCAATCCTTTATAATTGTACACCAAATCACTCCATACTGATCATAAATAACTGAACTTTATAATAAATCCACAAGATAAATGTGATCATATCAGCACTTCATTACATCCCACATACAACTTTTAAAGCCATTTACACAACTGTTGCCACCAGAATATAATTATTATTTATTTTTTTTAAATAGCAAAGATGGCTGTATGAGTACGTTACCCGCGGAGTTATGTTGTTTCTTCTCACATCACAAAAGCCTCACATCCATATCTCCATATACATGTTAGACATGCCCACATGGAAGAAAAATATATATGAAATATAGTTTAAAAATATTCTTCCCAAATATTTTGACATATATTTGAAATACTACAATTATGGCCATATTCAATATATTTCAAAATGTATTTCAATAAATATATATACATACACTGTATGTTGAAATGCGTTTTTACTACAAAATATACGAAAAATAATTTTAAAAATACATTTTCAAATATACTGTATTTCTTTAAAAATACATTTAATCTACATTTTTGGAATGCATTTACAAATATATGTTGAAATGACTTTTTAATATGTTAAAAAAAAAATGTGAAGAATATTTTAAAAATATATATTTTTAAAAATATTTTTCATATAGTTTGTAATATATAAAAAACGCATTTCAAAATGCAGTATACATATATGTATTAAAATATATTTTTAAATACATACTGAATAGGGCCAAAATTTTAGTATTTAAATATATATCAATATATTTGGGAAGAATATTTTTAAATTTATATTTCAAATATATTTTTTTTTCCATGTGGGTGATACCTCTTCCTATCGCTCTCTGCATGTTTATTGGGGTATTGGGGATGAGCAGCAAATATCGGCCAAGTTGTATTTGTTGGGAAATTTTTCCAAAAATTGTCTCAAAATTATTTTTTAAAAAAAATGTTTTCTTTTGAAAGCTATGAGCATGACTGGCCTGGCAACATTGAATGGATGTTTTGTAGCATCTAGAATAAAAAGCTTTTAAAAAATTAAAAAAAGAATCAAAAATGTAATTTAAAATATGCAAGAAAGATATATATATATATAAAAAAAAAAAAGGCAGGAGAGTAATCATTACATCTTTGTTTGACCTGCTGATCACATGCCTTATAATCAACTCCATGTAAAGTGAGTAAGTAGTGAGATAATCACACTGACCTCCATGTTCCCAATTCTCTGATTTCTGAAAGTTCTGCTCTAAGCGATCTCCGGGAGTTGAACCTTTCTATTAAATGCTGTAAATCAATAAAATAATATATGCTTACAGTTCATTTTTTTATAAAGCACTTCCAGCTCCAACAACAACCTTTCTTTGGCCATTAGACAGCGGAGAAGGACCCCTGTGACCCGTGTAGAAGCAGTGGTCTCTCTGCACAGATCAGACATGCCTAATGCTGAATCAGAATTGCAGAACTGTCCAATCAGCAACACTCACACTCCCTGCTGACTGGGGAGAGCTGCAGAGAGCAGAGCAAGCAATTATGTGAAATAGACCTGCAGTAAGAACAAATGAACAACCTCGGGATCTATTAGAAGAAAATTAGCTATCTGCTTCGTATTCTACACCAGAAAAATATGAAAGCCCTCCCCATACCATTCACTGAAAACCATTGAAGTAATCACCTTCTGATAGTTCAGATCAGGCTGACAATGGGGAGTGTCTGCACTGGGTGCTAACAATGGTACAAATCCTGTCTACCATCTCTATCTTGCCTGATGCTCTGGTAGTATCCTAGTCAGGGCTTTTTTTCTCAAAGAATAGGTGCAGGAACCCTTGTTTCCACCTCCTACCCACCTCTGAGCACCGTCCCTTGGTTCCACCCCCTACCCACCTCTGAGCACCGTCCCTTGGTTCCACCCTCTGCCCACCTCTGAGCACCGTCCCTTGGTTCCACCCTCTGCCCACCTCTGAGCACCGTCCCTTGGTTCCACCCCTTACCCACCTCTGAGCACCGTCCCTTGGTTCCACCCTCTGCCCACCTCTGAGCACCGTCCCTTGGTTCCACCCTCTACCCACCTCTGAGCACCGTCCCTTGGTTCCACCCTCTGCCCACCTCTGAGCACCGTCCCTTGGTTCCACCCTCTGCCCACCTCTGAGCACCGTCCCTTGTTTCCACCCCTTACCCACCCTCCAAGTACCGCTCCTTTTAGAGAATACAGAGCCAAGTTTTATTTTGTATGGAATTTGTTAATGATAACAAGAAAAACAGTAAAATACTCTACAGCCAGCAACATTAGCCCCCCCAGCAACAATGGACCATCACAACAAAATTACACCCCAGCAAGAATAGACTCCCAGCAGCAAGCATCAATAGACCACTCAGTACTGTAGATCTCTTCCGGCAACAACTGACCTCCCAGAAACATGAGATCTCTCTCCATCAACAATAGATTCCTCTCCAGCAACAATAGATCCCATTCTAGCAACAATAGATCCCTCCACAGCAACAAGAGACCACCATGCAAAAATATATCCCCTCCAGTGACAATAGATCCCCAGCAGCCAGCATCAATAGACCCTCCAGCCTCCCTTGCCATTACATACATTAAAGTGTTACTAAACCCACAACAGTACAATCAGTCTGTAGATGCAGTAAAGCATGCTTGTTATACTCACTGTGGAACCTAAGGGGTTTATCCTCTGCATTGTGTAAAAAGTTAGTTTGATCCTGTCTTCTATGTTCCTCCCCTTTTTCAAGTAACTACCACTTATCTCCTAAACTAAGACAGACTGAACCGTAGGTATTTTGCACATGCTCAGTTTGGTGTGTATTGCTAGAGAATTTTTTTTTTTCCTTGGGAGAGTGCTCAGAACAGGGCCAATCAGCACTGGTCAGGCAGAGGTCTGCATCCTCCTAGAGCAGAAAGAAAACGTCTCCTACATGCTTTAACCTCTTCCCGTCCGGACACTTTCCCCCCCTTCCAGTCCGGACACTTTCCCCCCCTTCCAGTCCAGGCCAATTTTCAGCTTTCAGCGCTATCATACTTTGAATGACAATTGCACGGTCATGCAACACTGTACCCATCTGAATTTTTTAGCATTTTTTTGAGACAGATAAAGCTTTATTTTGGTGGTATTTATTCACCACTGGGATTTTTATTTTTTTGCTATGTAAATTAAAAAGTCCAAAAATTTTGAAAAAAAAAAAGTGTTTTTCTTATAAAATTTTGCAAATAAACAGTATTTCATCATAAATCTTGGCCAAAATGTATTCTGTTATATTTTTAGTAAAAAACAATAACCCAAATTAGTTTATAATCAAAACTTATAATTTTTAAACATTTATTTTACATTTTTTTTTTTTTTTTACATACTGTCACCCTAGCAGTACAGTGTCACCATGGTGACACTGTACTACTTGTGGGGGGTGATGAAGATTTTTTTTTTTTTTTTTTTTACACTGATTGCTTTTATACTCATATAGGATGTAAAAGCAATCCTTTCTCCTTCTCTCTAGCTGCATTCTTGCAGCCATTGAGAATTACTGAGTGAGCTGTTATTGGTCACAGCTTGTCACATGGTACAAGGCTGTTGTGAATAGCCCTGTACCATGTGATCTCTGTTATCATTCACAGATTTCACACGTAGTAAGCAATGATGTCAGAAGTGACATCTTGCTTACTACTCTGCATGTGATCACTGATTGGCCAATCAGTGATCACATGATCGGGACCTCGTACAGAGGTCCCGTACGACGGTCGGTGTTCCACTGTGTCCGGAGGACACAGCGGGCACCGGATCACGGTGCTGCGCGCTCCCAGGGAGCACGCACAACCAGGGTGCGGGGAGGCCGTTTATAAACGGCCACCCGACCCAGCAGTGCCACCGTCCAGCTGTTTATATACAATGGCCGGACAGGAGGTGGTTAACCAGTGCTCTGCTGGACACTAATAGAAATCAAAAGACTGCTATATACTGCTGATGAGAAAAGGTATTTAGCAGTTTACATTTACTAAAATAATTGCATTTCCATGTTGTGTGTACTGCGGGAGACCAGATATAGTGAATGCAGGGTCCGGGGAGAGCGGATATAGTGAATGCAGGGTCCGGGGAGAGCGGATATAGTCAATGCAGGGTCCGGGGAGAGCGGATATAGTGAATGCAGGGTCCGGGGAGAGCGGATATAGTGAATGCAGGGTCAGGGGGAGAGCGGATATAGTGAATGCAGGGTCCGAGGAGACCGGATATAGTGAATTCAGGGTCCGGGGAGACCAGATATAGTGAATGCAGGGTCCGGGGAGACCAGATATAGTGAATGCAGGGTCCGGGGAGAGCGGATATAGTGAATGCGGGGTCCGGGGAGAGTGGATATAGTGAATGCAGGGTCCGGGGAGAGCGGATATAGTGAATGCGGGGTCCGAGGAGAGCGGATATAGTAAATGCAGGGTCCAGGGAGAGCGGATATAGTCAATGCGGGGTCCATGGTGACCAGATAAAGTGATTGCAGGGTCAGGGGAAACCAGATATAGTGAATGAAGGGTCCGGGAGACCGGATATAGTTAATGCAGGGTCCGGGGAGAGGGATATGGTGAATGCGGGGTCCAGGGAGAGCGGATATAGTGAATGCGGGGTCCGGGGAGAGCGGATATAGTGAATGTGGGGTCCGGGGAGAGCGGATATAGTGAATGAGGGGGTCCGGGCAGAGAGGATATAGTGAATGCAAGGTTCTAGGAGACCAGGGATAGTTAATGCAGGGTTCTAGGAGAGCAGATATAGTGAATGCAGGGTCCAGGGAGAGCGGATATAGTGAATGCGGGGTCCAGGGAGAGCGGATATAGTGAATGCAGGGTCCGGGGAGAGCGGATATAGTGAATGCGGGGTCCGGGGAGAGCGGATATAGTGAATGAGGGGTCCGGGCAGAGAGGATATAGTGAATGCAAGGTTCTAGGAGACCAGGTATAGTGAATGCAGGATTCAGGGAGACCGAATATAGTGAATGCGGGGTCCAGGGAGAGCGGATATAGTGAATGCAGGGTCCATGGAGACCGGATATAGTGAATGCAGGGTTCTAGGAGACCGGATATAGTGAATGCGGGGTCCGGGGGGAGCGGATTTAGTGAATGCGGGGTCCGGGGAGAGCAGATATAGTGAATGCGGGGTCCGGGGGAGAGCGGATATAGTGAATGCGGGGTCCGGGGAGAGCGGATATAGTGAATGCGGGGTCCGGGGAGAGCGGATATAGTGATTATTACAACAACTGGTGTTAGAAGGAGGAGCCATTCTGAAAAGCACACAAAAGTCAGGCAGAGTTCAGGCACTATAACTTCACTATGACAGGATTTACTTTTCTGAACAGAGCGGTCAGAGCAACCAGAATTATTGTTTAATGTTTTACGTAATAAAACACAATATATTGAAATTACATTTCTAAATGTGGAAATGGAACAATCATAAGATGTCTTTTTGCAGAAATACCTGCCAATGGAAAAAGATCACTCTTCCTTCTCTCGCACCTTGTTACAAGACATTCAGGATCGGGGAAGAGAAGCTGTGATTGGACTCTGGGAATGTCTCTGTGCAGTACAGACAGATCGCCCTCATCCGAATTTATTGGCCGTTCTGGATGAGATCACACAGAGAGGTAACAGGACTTTGTGTTATCAGTCAACATTGTGATAAAATAATGATTGACACCAATTACCCCAAAATAATAACTGACACCAATTACCCCAAAATAATGACTGACACCAGTTACCCTAAAATAATAACTGACACCAATTATGCCAAGTGTAACTCCATTGTTGGCAAACTACACTATCATTGTTCTCTCTTTTCCTCTGTGACAGAGTTTTTCTCTCCTTCCCATTTCCATACAGAAAACCTCGCTGTCACTAGTGAAAAGGCTCGATTATTATTACACAATATTTTATGTACTAGCCTTTTCACTAGTGATTTAAATCAAATCCTCCCTGATCCTGAAGGATCTTATTGTGTGTTGCAGCTGCCAGTGGGAAGAAGAGGAGGGAAACCGGCAGCACTGCGGGGGCGGGGCACACAGGGGGGGCCTGGCCAGCAGGGGGAAATGTATGGTGTACAGAGAAGGTGATCATTGGGTGCAGCAGAAGGCAATTACTAGAACCAATCCCCTGTATGGCTCTCTGTGCAGCAGCTGAAAGCCAGCAGAAGGTAGAGAAGAGGGCAGGCCAAAATGCGCCCCCCCTCCCCCCGGTTTATGATGTGTAAGCTTAAAGGATCCTATGCCCAGCTGTCACACACTTGTTAAAATCACTGCCACTACTCCTGTCAGGCTTGTAACTGATGGAAGGTGCCCCTATCCCTACAGAGAACCACTGTGCCCAGGGCAGCCGCCCCTCTTGCCCACCCCTTGTCCCAGCCCTGAGAGCCATACAGGGGATTGGTTCCAGTAATTGCCCCCCTGCCATGCCAATCACCCTCTCTGCCCACATCCGATTCACCCAGCTGGCTTGGGCCCCATACAGGAGGACTGGTGGTACCCCCCCATCCACGGCCATGATAGACAGACTTTCTACCAATATTTTTTTGTGGAATGTAAACTATGTGCACACATTACTCCTAAACCTCTATCTTCTGAAAAGCTTGTTTGGTCTTCTCACTAATTGTTCTGACTCGACTACAGGATGATAAACGTTATCTCCAGCGATGTATAAAGATATACCACATGGTGTTGAATATATCTCTTGCATCAGGTCAGACAGCTGAACCCAATGAATAAACTTACACGTTGAGGAAGTCAGATGAGGAAACCCATTTGAATGTTCCGTTTAATGGAGAATAACCATAGGTAGAAAAACGTTAACGGTACGGTCACCAATCAGTGTCCCTGATCACCGCCATGCCAGTTATATGATGACGATGTACTGCACTGGTGACAGTATGTAAAAAAAAAAATAGTGTAAATAATTTTTTTAATTTTCCGAAAAATTATGACAAAAAAATTACAACTTCAAAAAACTTGGCATGCCTGTTATGAAATAGGCCGGACTGTCTACTTTGCAAAAAGGGGTCATTTGGGGGATATCTGTCCTGTTCTGACATTCTTGGACCTGAAAAAATTAGATTGGCCGTCAGTACTTCAGGACTGATCAATATTCAGATATATCCCATAATTTGTGAACTCTATAAACTTTCCTACAAACTAAAAAATACATCCTAATTTGGGTTATTTTCACCAAAGACATGTAGCAGAATACATCTCGGCCTAAATTTATGAAGAACAATTATTTATTTGCAAACTTTTATAACAGAAACAAAGAAAAATGTTTTTTTATTTTCAAAATTTTCAGTCTTTTTTTGTTAATTTAGCAAAAAATAAAAACCCCAGCGGTGATTAAATACCACCAAAAGAAAGCTCTAGTTGTGTGAAGAAAATGATAAAATTTAAGTTTGGGTACAATGTTGTATGACTGCGCAATTGTCATTCAAAGTGTGAGAGTGCTGAAACCTGAAAAATAGCCTGGGCAGGAAGGGGTAAAATTGCCCGGTATTGGAGCGGTTAAAGACACAGAGCAATAATAAACAATTGATGGTCACAAAGAAATAATAATGAATCAAATAGTGTAACACAACACTACTAAAATAATTCTCTGTGACAATTGGTGCTATGCAGGCCATACACGGGTCAAATTCCGAACAAATTTTTTTTAGAAAATCAGAAATTTCATGCATTTTGTAATCCGATGGTGCCACCATTGATTTCACAATTCGACCAATCAAGCCTTCAATTTCACGTTTTCTTTTCTTTCCAGATCACAGCTCATGCTCATTTCTTTTTCGATTATATTTCTCACACGATTCTCCCATCATTAATGAGAAATTTGTTTGTTTTTCAAAAACATTTCCAACATGCCCGATCACTCAAATTTTATTCGGCCACTCAAATGGTCGCATGAAAATCTGCTGTTTCTGTGGCCCCACAAATGGTGCGAATTTCGAATGAAAATTCTTAGAAAATTATTTCGGAAATCGACCTGTGTATGGCCGGCTTAATTTATTTTTCGATTCTCCTATCATTGATTAGAAAATTCGTTTGTTTTTCAAAAAAATATCCAACATGCCCGAGAACTCAAATCTGATGGTGGCACAAAAATCGGGCATTTCTGTGGCCCACTATGGTACGAAATTAGAATATAAACTCTTAGAAAATGTTTTGAAAAGAAAATTCTTTCGAAGTTTAACCCGTGTATGGCCGGCCTAGAGGAGAGGGAGCAGCAGTGAGCGGTCCTTATTACAGAAAACTCCTGCACAGACTAAAGTCTCACACTGATTACTGCACAGATCTGGAAGAACACAAAGCATACCAAGATTCAAGGAACAATACACAGGATGAATATATTCACACAATATTTCCTTATCCCCGAGTTCACCTTTAATGTATTTTCTTTTGTTTGGACATAAATCTAATGTGTAGTTTGTGAAAGGTCAGCTTCAATCATACATGACTCAGACCGGTCATCTTCTATTCCTCTGTATAGGTGATCGTCTGGTGGATCAGATTCTGCTGGATGAACTCGGACACTCGCTGACTCCGGAGCTGAGAGGTAAAAAAACCAAAACACATTATACATTATATCTTATAAAACACGAGATCAGATTCTGCTGGATTCTCGGAATGAATGAATGAATGAACTGCAAGTCCCAACAGCCTTAGCGGCCGTGGGCTTGTAGTGTTCAGTGAACTACCACGGCGCTCCACAGTTCATTCCGTACACCCCATACATCCCCTAAATCCAGTACACCCCATACATCCCCTACACACCCCGTACATCCCCTAAATCCAGTACACCCCATACATCCCCTACATCCCGTACACCCCATACATTCCATTCCATACGCCCTGTACAGCCCATACACCCCGTACATCCAGTAAACCCCATACATCCAGTACGTCCAATACATCCCTACACACCATTCATCCCCTACATCTTGTACATCTCCTATATCCCCGTACATCCCATACCACCCCGTACATCTAGTACACCCCATACATCCAGTACACCCCATACATCCCCTACATTTGGTACACCCCGTACATCCCCATCCCATACATCAGTACATCAGTACACTCCGTACATCCCTACACCCCATACATCCCTACACACAGTACATCCCCTACATCCTGTACATCTCCTATATCCCCGTACATCCACTACAACCTGTACATCCCATACCCCCCATACAAATCCTGTACATCCAGTACACCACGTAAATCCCGTACATCCCATACATCCTGTACACCCCGTACATCCAGTACACCCAGTAAATCGATTATACCCCGTACCATCCCGTACACCCAGTACCATCCCGTATGGCCAAGCACATATTTTGACAGGTCTGCAGGAGACCTGCATGATATCAGATATCCACTGATCGCCGGTGCAATGCTTTCCAGGCTCCTTTGGACAATAATAATAAATGCACATTTTTTTACCTGCAAAAAAATGTGCATTTATTATTTTTGTCCAAAAGGAGAACTTATCCTTTAACCGATCAAGCTGAAGTTAGAAGCTGATTGGCTCCCATGCACAGCTGTACCAGATTCTGCGTGTTCCAGTTTTAGTAAATCTCTCCCTATCATTCAACAGAACAGCAGACACAGAACAAGTAAGAACACAAATTCAGGTAAAAAAAAAAAAAATGCATATATTGAAAGACGCTCTGTCACGGGTCACCCACACGCCACGCTTACAGCGACTAGCTAACTGAGGCTAACGCACGTGCGGCCGTGACTTGGGGTAAGAGGGAATAAAGAGGACTTA